TTTCTTTATTATTTTTGGGGGGCTGTTGTTTTTTGTTTTTGTTTTTGTTGGGTTTTTTTGCTGTTTGTTTTTTTAGGTAGGGGGGGTGTTGCGGGGTTTTTGTGTGTGTGTGTCTTTTGCTGCATGCATAGAGGGAATGTTTTATTCATCCAACTAAATTTTTTTAAACCGTTCAGTCCTGTTCATTTTGGTTGTGTGGATGGTGTGAGCTTGTTTATTTCTGTCTTTAATAAACCGAAAGCAAAGTCTTAAAATTGGTTCCATTGTATGCAGAAGCCCTGGGTGCGGATCCTACAAGGGGAAGGTAGTATCGATGCTCGTCTGTCTGCTGAAGCAGCCTAACTCAATAAAAATGTATCTTATCTATCTTATCTTATCTTATCTTTTCTTTCCTTGTCTTATCTTATCTTTTCTTATATTTTCTTTTCTTATCTTTTCTTTTCTTTCCTTATCTTATCTTATCTTATCTTTTCTTATATTTTCTTATGGACGTAATAAAAATGTACCTTAACTATCTTATCTTATCTTATCTCATCTTATCTTATCTTATCTGTTCATTTCTTTTCTTTTCTTGCCTAACCTTATCTTATCTTATCTTTTCTTTTCTTATCTTAACGTATCTTATCTTATCTTATCTTATGTACATGTCTAACGTGGCCCACAGGACAACGGTGTAACAAGCAGTGTTTGAACGGCGGCAGCCTGGACCAAGACAGCTGTACCTGCCAGTGCACCATGTCCTACACCGGCGAAATGTGTCAGAACGGTGAGTAAAACGGTTTGGGAAGGAGGGGGGGGGTGCGTAATTGTGTAGTTTTAACGCACCTTTTTTCAACACTAAGGTGTTGTTTTTCTTTTAGACTTCTGTTTCCGACAGGACTGAACCTGATTGGCTGAGAGCCATAAAAATTCCACAAAACAACCCAAGTCGAGAACACAAGGCCAGCAGCTCCTTATAGTCCAGCAATAATTAATTATGCCAACTGAGCTTACAGCGCTCTCAGGGGAGGATGGTTACAAATAACTGTTAACTTGTACTAGATCTAGTCAGTTTGCTGTATTGGTTTATTATTTCTGTCTTTGTGATAATGCCACATATAGGTAGGTAGTCAGGTTTGCCTTCTCCTCCTCGTCCTCTTCTTCTTCCCTCTCTTCTTCCACCTCCTATCCTCCTCCCCCTCCTCCTTCTCCCCCCCTCCTTTATCCCTTCTCCTATTACTACTCCTCCTCTTACTTTTCTTCCTCTCCTCCTCCTCCTCTTTTCTTACTTTTACTCCTCCCCTGTTCCTCTTCTTTCCTTTCCTCGTCCTACTCATCATCCTTTTTGTTTTCCTCATCACCCTCCTCCCCCCATTATCATAAATCTTATAAATTAACTTTTTTCTGTTTCGACGTCATTGTAATGTTTATGATATATACTATGCCAATGCGGTCGTAAAACTTTTACTGCTATTACTTGTGCAAGAAACTAGATCCTGGGCGAATGTTCAACTAGCACTATAACTTGATAGAGAATCCAAACTAATCCTTCACCACTTTTCGACTACTATTATTACTTAGGTAAGAAACTAAATCCAACTGTTCAGCTATTACTTTCACATCGGCATGTACTTGTGTAAGAAACAAATTCATTAATTCGTACCAACTGCAGTGAGGTTACTGAACACATAGTGCTACAAATGGAACAGAGACACACACACTCATACACACACACACACACACACA